CTCCTGTGACCTGTGGCCTGGGAAAACACACTCGCCGAGAACTGAGGCTGCCTGAGGGGTGCAGGGCAGGGCTGTGGAGGGTGTGAGGGGGGCCCACGGGCCTGGACCAGAATCAGGGGAGCATGGGGCACATCACAAAAATCCTCTGTGCTTTAGGGGGGTTGGGGGCAAGGCTGGAGGACCCACCAGGTCACCCTGAGGAAATGACTGAGATGGTGACAAGGGCTTGGATCCCAGACTCCGTGTTCATGTGCCGGTGAGAATGTGCTGGAAGGAGGCCACCTACGGCTTCTGAAGCTTAAACAGTAAAGAAAAGAGAACACACGGCCAGGAGGGGAGTAGCTTGCACCTCTCACCACCCCTCCTGTCTCTGAAGACAGCCGTTCACCGCCCCACCCCCCTGCCCCAAGTAAATGACAGCACCAGTGACAGGACAGGACATTCTCAACAAACGTCCCTTGTCCAAGGTCCAGGCTGAGTCAGGAAGGCTCCCGTTGGACTAAACAAACTCAAACGCGTGCAACCCCTGCGATATCCTTAAGGGCCCCTCTGGCAGGTGCGGGGCTGCAGGTGGGGGGACGGGATGAAGCCACACCAGTGACCCAGAGGCTTCTGACCGCCCACGGTCCCTAGTAGCTGTCAGTGTTGCCAATCCTGGGCACCTGTGTCCCTAGGGCTAGATGCTGCCAGTGTGGGCCATTATTGAGGAGGGGGTCGGTCCAAGTCTGCGGGCTGGCCTGACTCCTTCAGACAGGTTCCCCTGGCCCCGCTCCTGTTGGCTCCCAGGCCTGCTGGGAGGGGTCGGACTCTGAACAGGGTCCCGGGGCTCCCGGTGCACCCTGGGCTTTGAGAGGCCCTGCTTGGGAGGATGGGGTGCGGCTGTGGGGGTGCCGGGTGGGAATTGCTTTATGAGTCTGCCCTGGGCCGAGGCAGAGTCTGCTTCCTTCCGGCCCCAAAAAGGCCTGGCCAGCGGGGCCCAGCAGATGTGCTTTAGTGGCCAGGACAGGAGGCAGTAAATGCCCACCAGCCTTTCACATGCAGATGCCTCCTGCGGCCTTTGTGCCGGCGCCCCGCTGGGCTGGCCCTGCCTCTGAACAGCTCTCCAATAAAGGGCCTGATGGGGAACCCAGGCCAGTTACAGATGTCCCGTGACCACGCCCGCCCACTAGTCCTAGGGCGGTGAAAGGGGCCTGCCCAGCCAGCAACGGCCCCAGGAGCTTCAAGAAGGCACTACAGCGCCAGAAAACAACAAGGGGGCCAAGTCATCGCAGTCTCAGAAACCCGGGGCCCCCCGTTCGCCCATCTGGGGCACTGAGGGCCCAGATGACACCCTCGGACTCCAGCCCTCACGCCCCTCTCCCCCCGCACCCATTTCCTGGCTTCTCCTTCCGACACCAGCCAGAATCTGGGTGCTTTTTACACTGGTCCCCTCACATTGGACCGCAGCATCGAGAGGCCGGGACGGCCATCTGCCCAGTTCACGGCTGGTGCCTGTAGCGGTGTTTTAGAACAGCAGAGTGCTCAAAAAAACACTTGTTGGGTGTGAGTAAACAAAACTGGGCTCTGCAGTCAGGCAGACCCGGGCTGAATCCTTGGCAGTTCCTGAATCTCTGAGCCTCAGCCCCACTCTGAAAAGGGGTGCACACCCAACCCAGGGCTGGCTCTGAAGGCAGCACGTGGGGTCGTTCGCCTGCCTGGGACGTGACAGGCCTCCCTCGGCCAATGGCGACTGCTGTTGCTGTGGTGGACGTTGTTTTAAAAAAGCAGAGTCTATACTCCTCTGTGCTCTGTCCTCAAAAGGTGGAAACCTTTCCGAAAATCTGGTGTCAGCTGTCACCATAGAAAATTTAGGAGGAAGGGTGGTGAACTGCTCCCCCCCAGAGGTTCCCAGAACAGAAGGCGCTATTTGGGAAATCATGGTGCCGGGGGAGCTGCCATGGAGGTGGACTCTCCCCCAGGACCCTGGGCCGTCCACCCCCCAATCAGCAGCAGCCGTTCTCACCCCAGGGACTTCCTCTGAGCTCCGGTGAACTCAAAGCAGCGGCGCATATCAAGGAGGCATATCACAGAGTGTGAGGTGCAAAGAAACCTCACTCCTGTGGCTGCCAAAACTTACAAGAAGCAGCCGAATGCCCTGCCCAGCGCTCTTCGCCTTGGCAAACGGGCCTGTTTCGTAGATTCCTGATAATATGTCCTCTCTGGGCTCAGCCACCATGAGAGGGAAAGTGCGCCCACCACCAGCATGTCTGAAACATCCCCATGGGAAGCCCCCAAAGCAGGCATATTTTACTGGGGGAACGTGTCCCGAACTGCACTCATTGCCACCAGGGCTGGGCTTCACCCAGGCCCAGGGCAACCCGCAAGGAGGGCGTGGAGGGCTTCCTTGGCCAGAGCGTCTTTGGTTTGGCTGGGCCTGCATGGCAGGCCCAGTCTCCAAAGAGCCAGCAGAAGAGCTACAGAGAGAAGAGGAAGGCAGGGGGACTTAGGGGCCCTGGAGCACAGAGTGGCCCAGGTTATGTGGGTACTGGGGGGCTCTGTAAGGGAACCATCCCCATCCCCCCCAAAGGCTGGGAGCAAGGGGGGAAGGGGGCGGAGGGGGAGGAAAGGAGTCACAAAGGTCACTCTCAAGGCCCTGGTGGCCGGGGACAGGGGTCATGGAACCCCAGGGCGTTTCAGAGGGACCGAGCCGTCAGTTCCCCAGGCCCCTGTGCAGCACAAGGATAAAGTCCACCCGGATGACAAGTACTGCGTCCCCTCACCGGAAAGAACCAACCGCATGGGCTCTGGGGGAGGCGCCTCAATGCTCTCGGCTCCGTAATTGGCTGGGACACACTTCAGGACTGTTGTTTCTTCGCCGTTAGATGTATACACCGGCTGGATAAATCTGCCTGAGATGCAGCAAATCTGAAGGAAACTCTCCGGCGGATCAGTGCGGAGCCCGCACACTGGGGACGCCCTCCCTAATGCCACAACCTGCAGTCTGCGCCCTACTCAGGAGAGAGAAGCCCCCAGCCTTTCTCGGTCCTCCCAGAAAGGATTCTGCCTACTGGTCTGGCACCACGGTGAGAGGTCAGGCAGACCTGGGTTCCCACGGTCCCTGGCTTATTCCAGCGGAGACCTGGCAGGCTCTGGCCCTTGGCTGCTTTAGCTGATAAAGGGAGATAACTGCCGTCCCCTCCCCCCAGTGCCAGGCTGTTGGGGGGACTAAGTGAGATAGCTGGAGGAAGGCAGGAATGTCCAGCACATAGTGGGCGCCCTCCGGAGACCAGCCATCTTTGCTGTTGCTGGGAGGCCCCAGGAGGCTCACCTGCCTGGGCGTGGGGTACACTGGACCCGGATACTTACTGGAAAACAGCTCAGCAGGCAGCCCTGCCTTTTCCAAGGCCATTGCTGAATCCATTCTGTGCTTGCTACTCAGAGAAGGACAGAGGGACCAAGGCTCTGTCCACATCCTTGACCCACTTTACAGGGTTTTAGGGGCCACAGTGACCCTGCCACAATGAAAAGGACTGACAAACCCAAGTGTCAGTGAGGACATGGACAAATGGGACTGGCACGTATTGCCGGCTGAACGGTCTCCAAGATTTCCAAGGCAATCTCCCATTTTCATTTGATACTTAGAAGGTTTCACTTTTACATTTACATTTCCTTAAGCCTTCAATCAAATCACATGACACTCCTGCCTAAAATTTTCAGTGCTGGCCACCGTCCCTTCTACTGGGAATGCAGGACCTCCGCCCCATGACCCAGCACGCCCTTCTCACCCTGGGGTCGGCCCCATGCCTCCTCCCTGGACCCCTCCCTAGCACAGGTCAGCCCCACTCGGTCACCCTCTCTTAGCTCCCATTCTCTTCATGTCACTTATGCCCACCTGGGGACTTAGTGGCTCTTCTGTGTCCAGATACCATCCCCACAGGGCCTTGTCTGCCTCACTCACAGCCCTGCAGGTCGGGCCTCCTGTCCTTCCATCCTAGGCCCAGTCACCCCAAAACACAGCCCAGTGCCCCTGCTCCGTCCCCACAGGTGCTGCCACCTGACGCTCTCGTCTGTAACAGAGCTGGTCTGAAGCCTTGGGGTAAACAGAGGCTAAGGCAGAGGCGGGGAAGGCACTTAAACCTGGACTTCAGGACCGGCGCCCCCGGGCCCCGCAGGGAGGCTCCCAGGACTGGGGGGCTGTCCCGAAGGCCACGTCTCCCGTTTTTGAGTTCCTGGCCTCTCAGACACCTCCCACTTCGCTGTGTGGGACAGCCCAGCTGCTGTGCAGAAAGCGAGGTGGGCTCTCTGAGGAACAAGAGGCTAACTGAACTGACATCTGCAAGTAGGTAAACTGAGTCCCAATGAGGTCAGGCCACCCTGCAAAGGTCTCCCAGCTAGTGACTGTGGGGGGCCAAGCCCTGTGCAGCTGGCCCTTCCTGTCTGCCCGTCGACATCACGGCAGCACTGGCCCGAGATGCCGCAGGTGCCGGCCGTGGTCCTGGCGTGTCCTCCACACACGAGACTTGGTGGACAAGATGCTGTCCAGCTCCTGCCATCTAAACAAACAGTCCAATACAGTCCAATTGAATTATAATGCCAGTCACGTGTAATTTCAAGTCTTCTGGTAACCATATTAACAAGAGTCAAAAGAAACAGATGGAATTAATTTATTTTACTTAACCTAATATATCCAAATTATTACCTATCAACATGTAATCAGTATCAAATGGAAATCCAGGGTGGATCTTATACTGACAGCACATCTCAATTCAGACTGGCCACACTCGAGCACTCAGTGGCCACAAGTAGCAGCGGCAGCCCCGTCGAACCGCAGCTCTAACCTCCAGGGTCCCTGTGCGCGCCCTGGCGGGTTCCCGGGTCTCCAGGACGGGGGCGGGGCCAAAGCCGCTGTCCCGCCCAGGCCCCGCCCCTCAGGCTCCGCCCCCGGCAGTGATCAGAAGTGACGGGAGGGACTTGGGCTGAGTGCTGCCCCGCGCCCACAGCGAACAGCGCGGCCCACTCACCTCGCCACCGCCTCCACGGAGCCAGCGATCTGTTTGCCGCCGCCCTCGCCGCTGTCATACAGAACACCCGAGATGTCGAGCAGCACCCCGCGGACTCCAGCCAGTCGCTCGCCCCAAGCTGCCATCGCGCCCCGCCCGTACCTCGGGTTCAGAGTCCCAAGCAGAGGCTGGAAAGTGCGGCTGCGCTAGCAGCAGCGCAGGGAGACCTGGGAAGTGTAGTGGGGCGGGGTGGGGCCGTCGGGGGAAGGGGCGGGCGCTGTGGTCGGACTTCGGGGTCACGTGCCGCTCGATGGCTGTCCTCTCCGCTGACCAGGGGACAAAAATCGTCACAAATTGAAGCCAGGAGACACCTGTGGAAGTAGCAAAAATTAAGAAGACCAGGCAGTACCAGGGCTCCTGTGGTGTTCTCATCCTTGGCAGGAGAGCGCCAGCCAAGCGAGGGACTGGACTGCACAATCACGCACTTGGGAGGCGATGCGGAGGAAATGCATCACTGGGCCTACCCGATGGCTGCAGCGTAAGCTCCAATGCCAACGCAAGCTGGAAGAAAAGCAAACGTTCAAAGACGGGAATTGTCCAAGAAATTGTAACATGGCTACTAAAAGAAATATTATGCCATCATAAAAGGAAAACTAGGTGCCCTGACCCTAGTGGCTCTCTGTTAGTTGGATGTCAACCCCCAGAGCAAGAGTCGCTGGTTGGATTCCCGGTCAGGGCACATGCCTGGGTTACATGCCAGTCCAGGCAAGTGTGGGAAGCAACCGATGGAGGCTTCTCTCTCACACTGATGTTTCTCTCTCTGTCTTTCTCCCTCCCTTCCCCTCCCTCTAAAAACAAACACATAAAATGTTTTTAAAAAATGAAGACTAGGTAACATGGAAAATGCTCATGCTACAGCATTATGTGAAAAAGCAGAATACAAAACCGTGTGCAGACGATGAAATAAGGATGCATAGGAATAGGGCTGAGAAGGAAGTGGCGCTGTTGCAATGTGTTAAGCCAGTGAGATTTGGGGCGAATTTTTACATTCCATTTAATGTGACATCATTTTTGCAATAAGTGAAAAGTGATCGAAAAAGGGAAGAATTTCCTTGACTGGCCCTTGACCCTTTGAAGTATTGAAATTGAAACTCGTGGAGCATTTGCAATCTTGCAATTCGGCAACTGTCATCAGTTTTGGCTCAAATGAAATCTTACAAAAATTCAAAATTAATTAATTAAAACTTGAAAAAAGTTTTGACCTCAGGCCTGACTTAGCTTTGAAGTTTCTAAAGAAGAAAACCATATTAGATTGACCACTTCATTTCAGGCTCTGGATTCAAAGGTAAGATGAAAAGTTTATCAGAATACTTGAACTTTAACCTAGCTCAGTGAATCGTGCACATCACGTGGATAAGTTAGATCCTTGGGCCACTAACTATTGGTTGTACTGGAGAGCTGTAAAAAGTAGCTCCTGCCCCTTGGGGAATTCACAACCTGGTTGGGGAAGAAAAGAACAGTATGCCTCACAGTGGCCACAGTTCCTAGCTGCAGACAAGAGAAACCACTCTAGCTAGAAGGGCATGTTTACAAAGGGCATTGGGAGCTTATAGACTTTCAGGGGCCTGGGGAATCAAGTTCAAGTATGTCACAACCAAGAGCCACACAGCCCAGTGGCAGGGCTCCATTGGGACCACTGCCCCATCATTTGGCTCCTAAGATGCCAGGGACGTACTGTCAGGCTGATGGTACAGCCCCCAAAGGACCAAATCTACCCTCCACCATGCCCTTCAAAGATTATTTCTGCACTTGTGGCCACCACCTCGCTTTCACCACATCTGACTTGGTGGAACCTAGTCCGGCCTGCAAGGGAGTCTGGGAAATGCAGTGTTAGTGTCCCAGGTGCTGTGGTGCAGGAGCTGAGTGAATCAAGCTGGAGAACCCACATGAACACCACGGGCTGTGCCCATGCACTGAGCTTCTACTGTGTGGGCTCAGTGGGCTCTGGGGCACAAAACAGCCTAAGGGGTGATTGTGGCCTCTGAGTCAAGAGTGGACAGAGAACAAGACATGCACCTTTAGGGTGACTGACCAAGCCTGTGCCAAGCACCCATGGGTGACACAGTCACAGCCAAGGGTATCAGCTCCGTGGGCCACGGAGCCCAGCAGTGATTCCTGAGCAGAGGGGCAGCCTGACGCGGACCTTGAAGAATGGCCGGGCCTTAGCTCCCTGCTGAGCCGGAGGGAGAGGAGGCCGGGCACTTGGGCCCGTGCCGGTGAGCCTGTGCACAGCTCCCCCTCTTCCGCGAGCGCTGTGTGTGAGCAAATTGAGCTAACATTGAGCTCACATTGAGCAAATCACTTTCTATAATCAAGGACCGTGGTTGACAGAATGGCCCCTTGAAGATGTCCAGGTCCTCTTCCCCGGAACCTCTGTGTATGTTACCACACACGGCAAGGGGAACTTTGCAGATGGCATTCAGCCGGGGATCGTGAAGTGGAGAGATGAGCCTGGTGGCCCAGCGTGGACGGCCCATTATAAACACAGGCTGTCCCACCAATGCAGGGGTTTTCCCCAAGGATGTTGGGTCCACTGCAAACCCATAGCCAGATCACAACATTTCTGGACCCCATCCTTCTTTGCAGCCTCTACCACCTTGGAAGGTGGGGGTTTCCAATCCATCTTCATCAGACTGTGGGGCTTCGGGTTTACGCTGTTGGGCCTCCAGTTATTCCTTTCAACTCTTCATCCTGCTCATTGCCAGTGTGCTAAGGGACACAAAGCGCTGTGTGTGCCCTCACTTTGGGGCAGTCCAAGGACCAGTCTGTATCCCTACAGTGTGACAAAGGCCGTGCCAGTCCAGGTTCCTGGCCCTGGCTAATGGAAGTGCAGAACCAGGTTCTGGGGAGCTGGGAAGGCTATCAGGAAATTTACAGGATCAGAGAGGAATGCGGAACAACAGACCTCAGGAGCGCCCAGAACCAGCAGCTCCAGGGGTGGGAAATGGCAGACAACTTATTTCAGGCATGGCTGCCAGGATCAAGAAGCCCCAACCTGCATCACTCTGCTCCAGATTCTCATGGGGGAGAGCCTCCTGGGACTTTCAGGAGCCCACTCCCACCCTGTGGCCACAGGGTCAGGGGGGCTTGTTGGGCAAGCCCACCGCTATGGGAGATCTGAGCAAAGTCAGACCACCCGGACCAGAAACAGGGGCAAGGATACTGATCAGGCCAAAGCCAGAGACGTCCATCCACTGAGGCTGGTGGGGCCTGGGGCCCTGCGGGCAGGAACACTCAGAGCAGCCTGGACAAGCAGGAGACCTCGCAGAAGGAAGCACTTGGAAAGAGGAGGGGGATCTGGAGATGGAGGAGGCCCCAGTAGGCACGGGATGGAGGGAGCACGGGCGGGAGTGACACAGCACAGGTGTGACAGCGAGTTCTACACAGGGCTCTTCTAGCTGCTAGGACGTTCCAGAACCCCTCTGGGGGCGTGTGAATGTTGATTTTAGGTGTCAACTGGACTGGGCCATGGGGTGCCCAGATATTTGGTCAAATTCTGTAATTCTGGGTGTTTTGGGTGAGATTAACATTTCAGTTGGCAGACTGAGCACAGCAGGTCACCCTCCCTTCTGTGAGCAGGCCCCATCCAATCCACTCAAAGCCTGCAGAGAACAAAAGGCTGACCCTCTGCTACGGGAGAGAGCAGGAGGGAGCGTTCTTCCCACCTGAAGTCTTTGACCTGGGACAATGGCTTCTGTCCTGCCTCCAGACCTGAACTGAAATGCCAGCTCTTCCTGGGTCTTGAGCCTGTCAGCTTTCACACTGGAGGGCACCGTTGGCTCCCCTGGGTCTCCAGCTTGCCACCTTACCCTGCAGAGCCGGGACTTGCCAGCCTTCGTGATGGTGAGCACGGTTCCTTATTTTTAAAAACCCTCTTCACCTCTGCCTCCCCCTCTGTGTCTAGCTCCAGCTCTATCTCAGTAACTGTCCCCACACAGCTCATTGGTTCCGTCTCCCTGCAGAGCCCTGACGAATCAGGGCTCACATCAGAGTGGGGAGTGGTGCTTGTGAGGGTGCAGACAGGTGCCAGGGAACCCAGAGGACCCACCACAGCCGGGCTCCAGGAGAACGGACCTCAGGCAGCGCCTGCTGCTGGTGGACCCGTCCGCCCCACACGGCGGCTTCTCCACTCCGAACGGCTATCCTATGCTCCCAGCTCTCACAGAGTCTCTGCTTCCTCATGACTTCCGCGCTCAGGTAGCCCCTCAACAGTCACACCATCTTCATTTACGTTGCTTGTGGAGCTCAAGCACCCACCACTGGCAGGAAACATGCCCCCGGGATTTGACTGGGTCCCTGCAACAGGGATGGGACTGGTCCAGCTCACCTGGTCGAGCTGACAGCGTTAAGTGGCCCAGCAGTAGGCCAGGCATGGTCCACGGCCCGCTGACCGTGGAGCGGGAGATGGCCTCCGAGAAGGTAGCACTTGCGGGCAGGACTCACAGACGTCTCCCACGAACACAGGCTGCCCAGGAGACAGGCCGCACAGGCAGCGGGTTGCGGCATGAAGAACCTTAGGTTCCATGCTGAGGCATTTAATCTCCACCCCGAGGGCTGCAGTAGCCACGGAAACACCATGGACAGTGAGTCCGCTGAGGTCACTGGGCACACACACACAGCTGAGGTGGCGGACCTGTGACCTGCAGATGTGTTTCTGATGTCCTGTTTTTCAACTTCTGAACCGGTTTGCAGCATTTAAAACATTGGAGATGTCACATGATTGTCTCTTTGGGCCCATGTGGAGACCTGGCAGTGCCCGTCAGCCTTCCGACGAGGCCGCCATCCACTGGCGGAGTAGCAGCATCACTTGACGGGGAGCGCCAGCCTCCAGCCTGCCAGGCTCCGCTGGCTTTGCTCATTCAGGCCAGGGCCCGGCCCTCAGAGGGCCACAGTCTGCACACCGTAGGAGGTGACAGGCCTGTAGAGGTGGCAAGGCGGGAGCCTAGGAGGCAAGGGAAAAGAGGATGAACACACGAAATTTGAGCACCGATTTGGGGAACAGGGGGCTTTGACACCTTCCTTGTGGGAGACCACCCAAGAGACCGAGCATACTGGCCCCCATTCAAGCAGGAAGCAGGCACTTCACATGCCTGCAGAGCCCCGTCCCCTCTTGTCTCCACACTGCACACACCACAGTCTGGTGCCGCGGTAACACGACACACATCGCCCCCGGTCCCTACTCCTCTGGCCCCGTCCTTCACCAGTTCTTTCCTCGTCTGTCCTCAGCTTGTCACTTGGCCTCCCCCCCCTCCGTTCTTTTTCTTCCAATTACATCTACTTTTCCAGATGTCCAGAGCAATGTTGCTGGGCTGACAATTCTCTCCTCTTGGGCTCCTCCTGGGGGTACCTGGAAACGTTAGAAAATACTGAACGTGGGAGCTTCCGAACTTGGTTCTGAGACCTGCATCATAGTGTCCTGCTGCACCCCGGCTGTGCCCGGCTGCTTATTGTCTCGGAGGCCCTCTCCCAAACCCCAGCCACACCGGCAACTCTGAAGGAAAGTCACTCCACACGCAGCTGCAGTGGGATTGCACCCCTGGGAAGGAATGGGACTTCCTTTACTGCACAACGTCCAGGCTGGCTCAAATCTGTTTCACCGATACTTCCTGGCTGTAGGGGCTGGGGCCGCTTACCTGAGCTCCGTTTTCTCAACCTCAGATTGGGAATAGAAATAGCACCGGTTTGTGGGTGTCACGAAAAGGGCTAAAATAACCCCCGAATGAGCAAAAAGCTTGGCCAACTGGTCCCGAGCAAGTGCCCCAGAAAGGACAGCTGTTCTTGTTAATACTGCCATCATCAGGAGCGACTGACATGTCTTCTGCCCCCCAGTACAACCCCTTGTCGCCCCATCACCTTCTTTCACGCTTCCTGGGCACTTGGGAGACAAAGATGTTGATTGTCTAAAAAAGCTGTTGATTTCCAAAGAGAAACACTAATTTCTTAAAAGCAAAACAGGTTGACTAGACACTTTCTCTAACGTCCCAGCCCGGGGGTGGGTGGAAAGGCTGAGCGTTCCCCCCAGTCTCCAAGGTGGGATTGTAAAAGGAATCCTTGCTCTGCTCGGCAGACAGAGTTCAAAGCCCTGGTGGGACATGGAAAAGGCTGGCCTTTGACTGCGAATGGACTCTCCAGCAACCAGGGGACGAGAGTCAAGCAAACATTTACCAACAGAGTCTGCTGCTATTGGTCGTTTCCTTTTGAAGGCCAGAGCTGCCCCTCCGGCTCCGGAGACCGACTGCGTCGGTACAACTTGAGGAGAGCTGGCAGAGGTGATGAGCGACCCGGATGCCCACATGGCTGTTCCCCCCTGTTGACTGCCCCTTTGTCATCACACCGTGCCTTATGAAGCTGTCTCTTGGCGTATGTGTCCTGCCCTGTGGGCTGGCCCAAATCACAGGATTTCACCTAGAGAATTTCAGTTGTGTTTCATTTCAGGAACATGAGATGGTATCTAAGTTGCTTTAATGGGGCTCATAATATTGCTCTCCCTCCACCGCACCAATGGCAAATTCTTCCCATTGTTAACACCGGTCTGGGGCTGGGCAGCAGCTCCTCAAGGCTGCACTGGAATTACAGGCCACTTTGTTTGTGAAATAGCTCAGCACTCAGGGCACCATTGATTTGCATCAGCGCCTCCTGAACGGCCCTTTTGCCTTCTCCTTACAGATACTATCTAAACTGTGAAATTCATTAAATAGACCCAGAAATGGATCGGGTTATTTAACACAACATCCCTAATGGTGCAATATCTCAGCTGTCTGCACCGATGGTGGACATTGTCTTGGATGGCGTTATCAGCTCAGCACACCCGCTATGAATATTGATCCCGAGCTTGTTACAGCCTTCACTCGCCATCAGGACAGGTCAGGGTTGGAGCCCACCTTGCATCAAGGCAATTTAAAGACAGCACTCGGGCGGAATTTTAATGGCCGCGCTGGAAAAACAGGTCAGCCCCCTGCACGGAGGGAAAGCAGCTTGCCGGGCATGGGTACATTTATCACACAAAGTACCTTGGGTATAAATACAGGTGTGAGGACGTCGGCAAGTCGGCACATCGCCAAACTGGGCCTCCGGAAGGTCTCACTGCCTCCCGGTCACTCACAAAGCCACCTCTCTCCTCACCAAATAGGGGAACAGAGGCTGTGCTAGTGGGGTGGGCGGTTCCCTGGAAGTTGGGTGAGTAAGAGGGAGAATTTTTCTTTCCCTTCAGTGTTGGGGGGTGACACCTCTGTCTCTTCTGTGTCACCTGTTCCCAGAAGCTGGTCACTGAACACATTGGAAATACAGAGATGATAAGGTACAAGAGAAACTCCACAGCCCTGGCTGGTGTGGCTCAGTGAATCTGAGGTCACCGGCTCGATTCCCGGTCAGGGCGCATGCCTGGGTCGCGGGCCAGGTCCCCAGCTGGGCTGTGCAAGAGGCAACCACACACTGATGTTTCTCCCCTCTCTTTCTCCTTCTCTTCCTCTCTCTGAAAATGAATAAGTAAAATCTTTTAAAAACAATGGAAATAATGTAAATATTAAAAAGAGATACAGTGTCTTAAAACACAGGGCCCTGATGTGTTCTTGACTCCCCAGCTTGTTGCTTTTCTTTTCTCACCTCCTTTTTCTACATTCAACACCTGTGGACCTCAAAGGAAAACGACTCATCCAAGGAAAGAGAATTCATATCATTTAAACAAAACATGCTGAGGCAACTTATAAAGCGCAATGAAGATGACCCAGGCTGGGGCCTTCTTCCCGGTCCTTTTGAGTGGGGGTCTGGGGTGGACTCTGGAACGCTAGTCCAGCTGCCCGTGAAAATGGCCTCCAGGTCTCTCCAGGTGGACAGAGGAGAGAGGGACCATGGGAAGCCACGAACGTCCATTTCAGAGCTACCCGAAAAAGATCTACGTCTAAGCTCCCCTGAAGAACCTCAATTTGAAAAAATATAAACGTGGGTGTTAAAAAGCAAAAGGGGGCTGAGAGCAGTTTGGGCAAGGAGGGAGAAAGGAAAGGCGGGCTGAGGAAAACAAACCAAGGGAGAGCCGGTGGGAAGAGCAGTCGGAACAGGATACAAAGTAACACTGTTTTCAGCAGGTCTGTGGTTTGCAATCCAGGCTCCTGGTGGTGCCACCGTTAGAGTCCAGGGTGGCCTTTTCTTTGGTTTTCACAGGTGGGCATTCCCTCAGGGGGCGGGGGGAGGTGGTCCAGTGGGCTTGGGCAGGGCACTTCCTTTCCTGATTTCCTTTTAAAGCACAATCCATCTTCGCTTTAGGACCGGGGCTGGCTTGAATTTCGGCGGGGCTTTCAAGTCCCCAGGGAATCCCGTGGCCGCCTCTGGGAGGAGCTGGGAGGTTTGAATGAGAAAAGCTACAAGGAGCTGGCCTGTCAGGCTCACTCTTGAGTAACAGATGGGCTTCGCAGCCCCAGCACTTTGATGAGGCTTCTCCCCCCCTTCCGACTCTACCTGCCTGGACAATATTAATGGCCAAGCCATTGTCTGAAAGCCCCATGGGGTGGGGAAGAAAGGACAGAAGCGTTAGAGGTGCTTCTGGGCGGAGTGGTTAGGAGAAGCCTCAGACAAACCAGATAAACGCCTCGTGCTCAGGGTCGGTTCCCCGAGTGACGGAGGAGAAAGGAATGTTCTGACGAGGCGACTGGTGGACGCTCCCCCACGGACTGATGCTCACTGTGCCACGGGACTCGGTGGGGCGAGTGGGGCCACTTCAGTCCTCTCTGTCCCTGGACCTCAGACTCAAACCAGGCAAATGTCTTTTAACCGTTTTCTTCCCGGGCGTGGGAGGGATGGAGGTCAAAGACACAACCTCGTTCCCAGAGACCCAACTTCCGTTGCAAATGACTAAACCTGTGACCGGAGAAGGCTGAAGGGCACCGAGGGTTGAGCTTGGTGTGTCAGCGATCAAGGTAGTCACTCTCGGCCGGCTCACCTGGCTCTGAGCCGGAGACCCGCCAAAGTCTCCATAGTAGCGGACCACCTGGGGGTGGGGTGGGGGTGGGGCTAGGACATCTCCCCAAAGCCCCTGAGGGGGCGGGGGGAGGGAAAGCCTTGGCACAGGGCGGAATCTTCTTCCTCCACTTCTGAGACAGCAGGATGTACTGAATCGGGTACTGGTCCAGGAGACGAAGTCCTGAGTTCGAATCTCGACTCTGCCACCAACCAACAGGCACCCCCCCCCCGACAACTTGATACTCATCTTTGAAACTTAATTTCCTCATCTTTAACACTGGAATAGCCTTGCGAGGCCACGCCCACCTCACAGGGATGCTCTGAGAATCCTGACAATAAAGTGGGATCAGAAAGCCCGAGCGTTTTGTGAACCGTGTGGACACTTGGGCCTAAATCCGCGGTGGCCGGGTCCGAGGCCGTCACTGTCCACGATTCGCCGGCGCGTCAGAAGATGTGCTGAGTGTTGCCTGGGGGTAACCAGTCCTGGTCGGAACCGCATCCCCAGTGCAAAGGCGGGCGCATTGGGGAGAGGGCGCAAGCTCGGTGGTGTGCGTTTGTTGGGGGTCCCGGGGATGAAAGCGCCCGCCCCCCCTCCCTGGCTCCCTGACACCGGTAATCCCTGCGGATTGGACTGAGGCGCGCGGAGCCGGAGCCGGCGGCGCTCTCCGCGTGGGCGCGCGCACCGGGAGCACCAAGGCTCCCCTGGCCGAGGCTCGCCGCCCGGTGCCGCGCGGAGCGGTCTAGGGGCCGCTGCGAGCGCGCCCTGCACGTGGCGGGGTCCGGGCCGCGCGAGTGCCAATCCGCGCTCAGCCCCCCGCTGCTCTCTCCCCGCTCCGCCTTCCCGCCCCCCTCCCCAGCTTCACTTGGCCGCCCCGACCCTCCTATTGACTGGAGAGCCGCGGCCGAGGCGCAGACGAAGACAAGCCTGCGCGCGGCCACCCCGGACCCCGCGCTGCTGGCCTCCGGCCCGCGGGCGGCGGGCATGCTGGCATGGCAGGACGGCGGGGCCAAGGCGGCTCCCTCCCACCGCAGGATCTCCTTCTCCGTCCTGGACATCCTGGACCCTCAGAAATTCACCCGCGCGGCGCTCCCGGCCCTGCGCCCCGCTCCTCGGGAAGCCAAGAAAAGTTTGGCGGAGGCCGAAGCGGGGAAGGACGCCAACTCGGGGGACCAGGCCCGCCAACCGGAGACCCCTGGTAAGGATTCGAGAAGCCCCGGGCCCGGGAGTCCCGACTCAGTTGGTGCCACGGAGAGGTGTCTGTGCGTGGGGTGGGGAGTTGGGAGGGGGTGTGGGGGCAGCCCGGTTGGGAAGTGGCATATAGCGGAGTCTTCTCCAAAGGGAGAAGGCCCACGGGACACGGTGTAGCCCCTGTCTTGGAATTGGATCAAGGCAGAAAAGAGGCCTCCAGGATCCCAGGTGAGGGATTTGCCACCAAAGCTCCATCCCTGCTCACCTGCGAAGCGCATAAGCATCCCACCTCCGATTTGCGGGCGGTGGAAACCGATGCCCAGCGCCCCGCCTTCCCCAGGCTCGCTCATGTATCAGGCATTTACTGCTCCCGCCATGTGCCAGGACCTGGGCTAGAGATTGGGAGAAAAGGCAGAAAACTTCAGGACTTGCCGGACTGTGTCATTAATGTCACCCCCACTTTATGGATGGGGGTGCTGAGGCCTAATCAGGTGTCGAGGTCTTAGTGAGCATCCAGGTCAGGTTTCCCGCCGAGTGCTCACTCCCTGCTGTACCCAGACACACCTGCAGAGGCCCCACTGCTCCACTTGCTCACCGAAGGTGGGGAACGGACGATGGGAGGCTTTTGGTTCTTTCTCTTTGAAACCCTTTTGCCTCGCGCCTAACTCTGGTGGACACCTGATGAGGGGTCCGGGCAAGTTGGTGTCTAGGAAGAAGGACCAAAGGCACCAGGGCTGCGCTGGGTGGGGAGTGGGCACGAGGCTCCCTGGAGGGCTGCCGAGGGTCAGGGAAGCTGGTTCGAGAGGGGCGGGATGCCCCGCGTCCTCCCGCTTCCCCTCCCCGAGTTTGGCGGTGATTGTCTGGGGCCCCGGGCGCCTCTGGCGGCTGCGCTGGAGCCCGGGCGGTCAGCCTGGTAATTGTTAGGATCGCCTCTCCGAGGGGCCGCGCTCCCCTCTCCCCATCCCATGATCGATATTCTATTACTGGCGCCTGCATATCTCCTGCCCGCAGCTTGCAGGTACCGACTTCAAACCCCCTTTCCCTGTCTGATCCTAATATTGTTCGATTAAAACTTACCTTTAATAGATGACATCTATCGATCCAGTCCCGCACAAATCTGAAACTCTATTAACACAGCGGGAGAGAGAAGATGGGAAAGGGGGATTTCACTTTGAAGGGGGAGGGGGCTTAATAACTTCTTTTTAATTGCTAGGAGTCCCAAACCAAACGGGCTCTCGCGACCGGGGAGACACAGCCCTAAACGCACCTGGCGTCTTGATGTCTTAATGCGCACTGATGCGACTCCCCCGCTAAGGTTGTCCAATAAGGTCACTATTTTTTCTTAATGCAGGGTGTCACTCATTCAAAATACCCTTCTCGGACGCCTACTGGGTGACAGATGAGTAAAAGGCAAGGGGGCACTGCACCCCTAAACCCTGACTTCAGGAAGGGCTTGCAGAGATGTATGGTCGCGGGTCGGGTTTGCTAAGATGCGCTGGGGGCTGGATTGGGAGAAGAGCTGCGTGCTCTGGGGAGGACCCGATGGAGGCCTGGGGATCCGGACAGGCCTGGTGGTTCCGGGGTTCTGATCACCGGTCCCTTCTCCCCTAGATGCTGCGGGCCTAGGCGCGGGGGCGGCGTCCCCTCTGGAGGGCTCCGAGGCAGAGGAGGCGGAGGAGGAGGAGGACACGGAGGACGCGGGAAGGCGTTCGCGACCGGAGCGGGCTGCGTGCCTGCAGGCGGGCCCGCCGCTCTCCCCGGAGACACGGGCGGCGGGGGAGCGCGGCGCGGGCGGCCTGGCGGGCTCCCCGGGCTCGCCGGGCTCCCCGCGGCCCCGGCGCCGACGCTCGGAGCCCAGCTGCGCCAAGCCGAGGCGCGCGCGCACCGCTTTCACCTACGAGCAGTTGGTGGCCTTGGAGAACAAGTTCCGCACCACGCGCTACCTGTCTGTGTGCGAGCGCCTGAACCTCGCGCTGTCGCTTAGCCTCACTGAAACGCAGGTCAAAATTTGGTTCCAGAACCGCAGGACCAAGTGGAAGAAGCAGAACCCGGGCGCAGACGGCACCGCGCAGGCAGCGGGCAGCGCGCCCCAGCCCGGGGCTCCCGGGGTGGCAGCGTCGAGCGGTGGCGGCAGCACTGGGGGCAGCCCGGGGCCCCCAGGCCCCAGCCCACTGCCCTTCCAGACTTTTCCCTCCTACTCCGCGGCCAACGTCCTCTTCCCGGCCGCCTCCTCCTTCCCGCTGACAGCCGTCGCAGCAGCCGGAGGCTCCTTCGCTCCCTTCCTTGGTCCTTCCTACCTGACCCCTTTCTACGCCCCTCATCTATGAAGCCGAATGAGTGGCGCCGTTGTGAGGTTCCCACTTCCACGGAGGGGCGCTGAGGCGCGGGGAGTGACCCCTCCTGCTGCGCCCGTCCCAGCCAGCCGCGCGAGGCGCTGCCAGAGGGTAGAGAGAGGCTCCCAGTGGCGCGCGCGCCCGCGGCGCCGACCCCCTGAACCACCCAGTCCACATCTGTTAAAATGTCCTCAAATCTTCTTGCTTCTCGACCTGGATTTTCACTCTCGGTCAGGCTTAATTCGGCTCCAGGGCTCCTTTTGTGGTTCTGGGTGTTGGGTGCCGGGCTCACAACCCGCGGGGATGCGGAGGCCAGGGAGCCGAGACCTCCAGCCCGCCAGCTGCTCGCACCTGGGACGGAATGCTCCAAGGTTTTAGTTCACTCGGGGGTAAGGAGCTTTCCCTCGTCGTAGCCGGCTGTTCCCCTTTTCGTACCTACAATTGGCCCCAACCCAGCGATCCCGCCCACGTACTGAACGGAGCCGGCCGAGCTGGGTCCCGGAGCACACGCTCTGCAGCTGTGAAGTGGACAGTTTTTTTAAACGCCTAAAACTCAGCGTGTTTGGACCTTCCTTTACGACTTGGACTTGAGCACAATTCCTGTGCCAAACGGACTCTCTACAGGCTGTTCCCGAGCCCGTGGGAACTTTCTGTCTCTGTCAAGACCAGAAGTTCGTGCCAGAACATCTGCGTCGCCGTACCTGGGCTCACCTGCCCAGGTGGACGCTGTGGGCGCGGCTTGGCCAAGTTCTCCGGGCAGCTTTGACACGGCACAGCCACGGCCCCACGCACAGAAACACAGCAATGCAGGGACCAGCGGCTGGGCGGAAGTCTCAAGGTCCGCCCCTGAGACGGCCCATCTCCCCCCGCGGTTTTATTGGGAGGAGATGGACCACTCGGCCTATTTTGATTGGCAGGACTTGACGCTCTGAAAAAACGTCAGTCCTGGCTAATGCATCTACCCCAGCGTTTCCTAGGCCCCCCGACGGCGAACAGCTCTGGGGAAGGGCTGGCTCTTCAAGCACATACACGAATTGGACTATGTTTTAAAAGCACAAATTCAACACCTTCCCAGCGTCGTCTTCGATTCTGATGGGAAAGCAATTCTTGTTTCAAAGAGATACTCCTTGATGACCCGGTGAATGGGCAATAGGGGGCAAGGGGCGCGAAAGAAATGCTTCCTGGGTATAAAGAACGACTGTGGAATCAAAAACATGCTCATGATGGATTCGACGGGCATTCTCACCACTGACTGCTCTTATGATCTCCCCCAAAGTAATTTCTTCTGTAAAATTCTCTTGCCAGTTTTGTTGGGAATGCCATTCCTCCAGTTTCCTGTGTGATGTGGTTTGCAACCCATCTCTCAGAAACCTGGACCAGGTCACGAGTGAGTCGTTCTCACCTTCATTTGGCCGAGGCCCACTGACCCCCACCTGGGTAGCATATCCCTTGCTAGTTCTTGGTGGCCTATGCCAGGAATAATTAAATGTAATGATCAATGACTTCTTCTAAAGTAAAAGCACACTGTTTGGTATTATGAACACTATTGTCATCCTGAAATATCAACTTCCACGTTGATCCAGAATGATAGAAAAATACCCCCCTTCTCTCACATTAAACGAAGACTCCATTTATGGGACTCACAAGATATGAAAAGACATATTATTTATTTACATATTATTTACTAATGAGACTCTTCTTCTGTCCTGAAGAAGAAAAGTGTTCTTCGTACTTCCTCAAACACAGTCGAGAGATGAGATTACAAATGCAGTCACTCTAGTCGAGGCTATTATTTTATTCCCTTTGCGTGTTGATAAATACTCCCTCAATAACTATTTGCTGGTTTCTTGAAAGCAACATTCCATGCCAGTTCATGTGTCCACAGGCACGATCTGTAATGAAGAAGCTGAATTTCTGTAAGAAGTGGGAAACATTTCATTCTTCTCAGGTACCAGAATCACAGGCTCCGGTTAGACAGGGGTCTAGGAAGCGAGGGGGGCTCACCTGTGTGCGGACCGGCATGGGATGCTATCCTTCCTGGCCCCTCCCATTTCCACCGATTTTAACAGAGAAATGTTTGAAAATGCGTGACTTTGGGCTTCTGCTGCTTTAAAAAGCCCCGTGGCTTTCCAACCAAATCCTTAGACTCAATCTATGAGTGTGTTTGTCTAATAAATTCTTTTGTAACCACCGCTCCTGCAATTATTTCTTGCTCTCTGTTAGCAAAGTTTTTACTGATTCATTATCAGAGGCTGTGTAGATGTATCCCGTCTCCCCAACCAGCTACCATTCACCAAGAGAGGCTGTTCCTACCCCAACACCACTTCCTTAAGCCAGCCTTTTCATGGCTAGGCCATGGCTAGAGATACACATTGTAGCCACCCTTGCCCACAGTATGTTGCAAACAAACACACCGTTAGGGCCACTTCACAGCAAAAGGGAAGCATGTTTACAGGATTTTTATTAGTGGCTACAAATTAAATCTACAACCACCTACCAGATTTCTAAGGCTTTATTAACTCCTACACTTACTTTACAAGTTCTTAATAGCCCATAAAGGGCTTGGTGCATAATGTTTCAGACTTAGGCTGCCCACTAGTCATAGATTTCTGGCGTTAAAAATGACTATTGTAGATTCCCATTGGAAACGATGTAGCCAAGGAGGGAGTAGAGAGCATTCCTAGTTTTTAGCGACCCTCTGTCCACTGTGTGGGCACGGACCAATTTAGTCTATTTGCCTTTTTAGAAATAACTTATAAGAACTGCCCTCGCTGTTGTGGCTCAGTGGATTGAGTGCTGGCCTGTGAGCCAAAGGGTCACTGGTCCGATTCCCAGTCGGGACACATGCCTGGGTTGCAGGTCAGGTCCCCCGTAGGGGATGCATGAGCGGCAACCACACATTGAAGTTTCTCTCCCTCTTTTCCTCCCTCCCTTCCCCCCTCTCTAAAATAAATAAATTCTTTAAAAAATAAAAAGAGAAATAACTTGTAAGAATCTATTAACTAGCTTTTAAAGTTGTGAGTAGGCCAACATAAGAAATTCTTCAGTTAAAGCTAAGTACACTTAAAAATGTAATTCCACCTTAAGGTCAGTTGAAGGGAAGTGTCTGAGAATCTAAGGAGTGGGAAGACACAGACTCAGAGAAGCTGAAAGTACCCCCTGACCCCTCCAGAGGGAGGTGAACCAGAAGGAGCCTGGCGGCGGAGACCAAGGGGAGCAGCTCCCAACACTGAGGACCGCCCACCTTTGTTATCCCATGCTCCAGGAGGTACGAGCAGTACTGCATCGTGGTTTCCATTTTCATTTCCTGATGGGGAATGAAGTTGCCTGTCTCTCCATATGTCGACTGGCCACTTGGGTGTCTGTTTAACCAACGTGTTTCATCAGATCTCTGCCCACTGGTTAAGCCCCTCATTTATGGGCACACTGAGTCTCAGAGAAGAGGTGCCTTGTCCCAAGTGACCCTCATTACCTGGGAGACAGACTCAGTGAGGGTATCTGACTTGCCCAAGGTCGCAGAGCTGGGGAGAAAAGAGCAGAGCCTGAGACCTGGGCCTAATAACTCCGGGGGCGGGGGGTGAGGGGAGACTGAGACTGGACGTGGGCTTGCCAGCCACACAAGACATCTGATTAAAGCCTGTTACAACGATCTCAGAGCTGTTCGGGCATTCTGACCGTTGCAGGTCAGAGTCAGTCCTAGAAAGAAAGCGTGTGCTGTAGCTCCTCCTCCTTCCCTCCCTCCCACTCACCCCCAGCCTCCTGCCCCCATTCTGTGCTAGCAACTGTTTTGGGCAATGGGAATTCATTTAGGCAAAGGGGGTCCCAGGTGCAGGGAAGATTACATCTGCATTCCCCGCCCTTCTCAGGACAACGGCGGTAGTGCACAGCTCTGTCTCCACCACCCACTGCAACCTCGGGCTAGTTCCCTAATTTTTTAAGCCTCTCACAGGCACACAGTGTGACCCCCGTAAGTGTTACAGTTCTTCCTGCCAAATTATAAATTCACACATTTAGGTAACCAAGGGGTTTGGAACTGGCCTCAAAGTGAGGACCGCATTTTAAATGCAGAGTCGTCCTAGGCAGCTGCCGGCCACCCAGTGGCCTCAGCAAGGTCCTCCCCGGCCGGGATTGCTGGGGACGGGAGATGACAGTCCACACGACAGAGCCGAGCGGACACTTTTGTAAAGCTACCATTTAAAAAATTTGACTCCCTCTTGGTGATTCATTTTCGTTTGTGTGCCGTTAATACATTTACAAAAGGGGTGAGGGTCCTGTTTGCTTCGGTACAACTTGCCTGTCCTGGGTCAGAGGGGCTGGATCTGGGGGAACTCAGCACGGTCCGAAGTCCCTACTCCTGAGGTCTAAAGCGACCACCAATGTGCAGAAGGTTTCTAAAATAACTGTTAAAAGGATGGTTTGTTCCTCTTTCAAAAATTCCGTTCCTCCAGCCCCGTCCGGGTAGCTCGGTTGGCGGGAGTGTCGTCCCAACCCATCGATGTTGCAGGTCCCACCCCGGTCAGGGAACACGCGAGAATCAACCAATGCGTGCATCAGTAAGGGGAAAACAGACTGATGCTTCCCTCTCTCTCTTCTCTCTCTCTTTCAATTAATAAACAAAAAATTTTTTAAAATTACATTATTCCACTAATGCACTTTTCTAAGGGATACTAGTTTTACACATCTGACTTTCCCTTTTCTTTTTTCTCTTTCTTTTTTTTTGATACATCATTATAGCTGACTAGATTACTCTAAGTTCCCAAGAATTCAGAATACTTAATTCTGATAAATATCTATACAAGGAGAAAAAAACTAACCAACTCTTCTTTGATCCAAAAAAAACACAAAAAAACCCCAAACAAACAAAAGAAAAAAACCACAACCAAACCCACATATCTCAAAGCAAGAATTTGATAAAATCCTTTTAAGGATGTTAAAGATGTCAACATTCAAGCAGATCTCTAATTAGAAATTAGCTTCCTTCCCAAGAAGTCGAC